CACCCACACCCACACCCACACCCACACCCCCACCCACACCCACCCCCCCACCCACCCCCACCCCCACCCCCACACCCACAACCACACCCTAATATTAATTGAAGTAGTTACATTGATTAAAATGTTATCTCATGTTTGTATAGCGATCGATCGTGAAATTATACAGCAATATGTCAACGATTACCTTTTGGATTGTAATACCAATGGTCAATGTCTTGTGATATCACAATGAATGTTGGCATTTGTTGGTGTGGTCGAATATTCGGATTCTACGATCGAATCGTACTGAAATATCTCGACCTAGAAGACTTCAAGCTTGTGCGATTTTAGACTTGTTAGAATTGTTTTTCTTTACATAAAATTTCAAACTTATGTCGTTATTTTGGTTTGCTGACTTTTTACTTTAGATTTTAAATACATATAAGTGAGTATATAAATAGCGATCATGGTAGCTCTACTCATTCCTGCATTGAATACTTGTCATTAAAAGTATGTAGACTGACGATCTTCTTCTCGTCTTATTTGACTTAGAAGAGATTTGATTTCTACCGTAGTAAAAGAACAAGTGAATCTCTTGAGGGTCCAGTATTCGGTCTATCTAGACTTAACAAGGATTCTTTTGAGGTGAGGGGATGAGTTCAAGCAATCTGATGAGACCTTTAGCAGGGTCGAAATCGCGCATTAATAGCACAGCTTTCACTGAATGTACACATGCATTAGACAGTATTCTTTGCTGAAATGAAAAAAACACAGAGTTATCGGCCAACTTATAAGTCACTTCAGTGAAAGAACGACGCAGGGTGCACAGATCTTCTCATTTTTCAGAAATAAATAAAACAAAATAGACGTTATCGAAAAACAGTCAAACATGCACACTTTACTCAAAAATAGTTTCCGAGGTCAACCAACTGACCGATTATCAGGAGTTGCTAGGATCGTCCCCTAGCCCTTAATCTATGATCCTTCTTTTCAAGTCATACGTGCTTGTTAAGACATATCACTGTGGATATTCAGGTCTATTCTTCTTGTACATAACTTCGTGGATAAGCAAAATGACGGTTTCTAAAACCTTTTCTTATAATTCTTAATAAAACTCAACCTCTCACCCTCACACCCTCATGATTGAAAGATCAAGGCGAAGCTCACGCGAATATGATCAGCCTCATTAAGCGAAGTTCAACCAAGCGAGCGATTGGCATTGCCAGAAAAGCTCGAGACAGTATGTGTTTTCTCTTGCTCTCTTTTTATTATTATTATTATTATTTATTGTTTTTATTGGTAGCTCTCTTTTTTGTCATTGTTTTTCACATATATATTTTTTCTTTCTTTCCCCCTTTACACAGTGCTCGGTGAAATTGGTATTTCCGATGAATATCACATCATTCGTCATGTGATGAACCTAGAATCAGTCATCACGTATGAAGGAACTCAGGTAAACAAACAATTCCCCCCCCCCCTCCCCATTCAAATACACTCACTCACAATCACACACGAATCAACAACGATGGCTTGTTCATTTTATTTTTATTTTTATTTTTTCATGTGATGGATTGTGCAATGCTTATTTTCTTTGTTTTTGTTATTTTTGTTCATTATATTAATTATTATTATGATTATTATTAAACAATTTTTTTTCATATCTTTCTCTTTTTTATTTTTTCCTTTTGTCACACAGAACATTCACGCCTTGATCTTGGGCAAAGCCATCACAAGTATTCAAGCCTTTGAACCAAAAGGAAATGGAAACCATTAAAACAAAAAAAGACAACAAAAACACTCGGAGAGAAAGAGCAGCCATCTGCCCCACCCAAATTGGGTTTTTGAATTTTAATATTCATGTTGATTTCGCAAAGGATGATTAGGAGCCACGATGACATGACCTTTTTTCCACCCTAGTCTTTGTTCTAACGTCGTCAACACTTGTTTCGTTGAATAAAACGGATGAAAGGCTTGCATAAATCCATGACCCAACGTAACCGCTTCCATGCCATTGATGCAAAGCAAAACATGAGAATGCTGCAAGACCACATTGAAAACACGATCCACGATCAAAGAGGAAGGCATCTCAGTATGATGAGCAGCCAGATCATCATTCATAGGGAATGACAGATCGCAAGGTCGAACGAAAGAACCTTGCATTCGAAGAGGATGCGTCGGTGTGAGAGCCAAACGGGAAAAAGGCAAAACAAGCAAATCAAAGCGTCCTTGAAATTCTACCAAGCAGAGGACGGGAGAAAAACCAACATAACCAGCAGCATCAACGACTTGCAAGCAATCGCCAGAACGAACCTGGAGGAGAAAAAAAGAACGCAATACAATGCAATGAAGACAAACAAACAAAAAACAAATCAACCAAACAAATAATCACGAACCTGAGAGAGCTGTTTCTCTCTGACCATTCCATCTTGTTCTTTGCATTGCACAACACATTCCCCACTGAAGCAACCTCCACAGTTTCCAGCATAATAACTATCAGCTACAGGCACAGCAGCAGCTATAGCATTGTTGTTACGGTTATTGTTGTTGCTGTTGCTGTTGGCATCACGGTCAGAGTACTTTTTCAAAGGCAATCCTTTAAAAATCTCGCCACCAGAATGAACTAATTCGGAAAATAGAACACCGCCATAGACTTGAAGACCTGGGTCCACTGCAAAAGAGATCGAACAAAAACAAGTAAAGAAAATGAAAATCAATGCCCCCCCTCCACCCCCCCCCAAAAAAAACATACACACAAACAAAAAACGTACTGAAATTGGTCCTCATTTGATATTCATGCGATCTCAAAATCGCTCGCAAATAGTGCGCTCCCCATCGTTGGTATCGTTCCACAGTAGAAACGGCTTTGCTGATTCTTTCTTGCAAATCGCCTTTCAACAAAGCTGTAATACGAGCATCTTTCGCTGTCGCTTCCAATCCAATGAGTTGTCCAATCAGAGTTTTCAAGATTTTAGGTCCGGCTGGGTCGGTAGCATCACACTTGTCGATGACTTGTTCTAATGAATGAACACTGGACATACGAGCAAAAGCAGCCAATGCGTCGGCAGTCACCACGAAATCAGAGCCAATCAAGGATTCTTTGTGGTTGTTGTTTTCAGAGTTCCATTCCAGAGTGACTTTGAGAAACGGATGGTGATGGTCGTGAACACCGACGGGAATCTTCATAGGTACAATCAGATCTCGATGACTACCAAAGTGTAGTGGTCCTAAATCAAAGACCAAACCCCAAGGCACTCGCTGAAAGGAAGAATGCAATACAGGAGGGAAAATAGCCCCATTTTGTGGTTCCAAATGCACTTTGGCATCCAATGCTAAGTTGGTACAAGCATTGGCCACAAAATTTACGAAACAAGTACCCACAATTTTGGCATCAGGAATAAATGCAAAGGTGCCTTTGCCTTCTCTGGCCACATCCAATAGCATCTTGCTCTTGAGTTGATATCCAAATCCGAAAGTCGAGACACTGCAAGTGAATCCAGCATGAGCTTCAAAATAAGAGCGCAAAGCCGTGTTCTCTCCACCAGGAGGAGAGATCGTGGGTTGACCATCCGTGAGAATCAAAATGAACTGACGTCGTGGAGAAGCGCGAGCAGTGCGAAGAGATTCAAGACCAGCTTTCAGACCCGCCCTGGAACAAACAAGAACAAAATAACAAAAACATGAATATCAATTTCACAAAAACAAACTAAAAAAGAGAATCATACCAAATATTGGTGGAGTTTTGTGGCTCCAACGCCTCCAGAGCATCAATGGCTTGCCTCTTTCCACCCTCATTCATTTCAGAAAGCGTAAAGACCAAACGCGCGTCATCATGAAAGGCCACTAAACTGAGACGATCTTGATCAGTCAATGTGTGAATGACTGTCTTGACCGAATGCTTGACAATGTCCAGTTGGTTCATACCTTCACTGACAAATTTGGAGGCATCTTTCGGGTCCTGGAATTTGGCATCTTCCCCCATAGAGCCACTCACATCAATGACACAACAAATATCCACTTGTGAACGCTGAGCCATGTTCGGAATAGCAATGGAAATGGCAATGGGAAGAGGGACTTGATCATTGACCCATTCGACAGCTGGAGCCATGGAGAGAGCAGGGCGAGCGGAGGACAAAGATGCACCAGCAGATGCAACAGACAGGGATTGCTGTGCCAAGGACCAATTTCCATCATCCTCATCCTGAATGAATATGAAAAACAAAAAAGATGTATTGAAGTAAACAATCGAGTCGCAGTGAACAATTCAAAACCCAACTACAAAAAAAAATGCAAACAACCGACCTGTGCAGGTACAATCTCAGGTTGTTTTTGCTCCACTTGCATGTCTTCTTCCACAACCCCACTCTGGAATACTTTGACAACTGATTTCATGTGTGCACGACAAATGGGACACTTGGCTCCACTGTTGAGCAACATCTTCAAGCAAGGCTCACAACCACAGAGATGACCACATGGTAAGGCCACTCCATTCGCTTCTTTGTCCATGCAAATAACACACAATGGTTTAGCAACTTTGTTGTTCGAATTGGGATTGGCAGGCATCGATGAAGGATCCGGATCTTTGCGAGCCTCAACGACGATGGGCTCAGACAAGATTTGCTGCAACGCGGACAACTCTTCCTGAATACTGACCGCTGAATTGAGAGCAAAGAGCTTGCCAGGGAAAACGGCCAGAATCGAAGCCAAATTCTGCTGGAAAAATTGAAGACGGCCACGAATTTTGTTTTCGTCCAGATCAGTTTCGCGTCGAACGAGACGTGCTGCTACTTCGGCAGTCGGTGCAGGAATCAGTAGCGTGTGATAACTGAGATGACTGACTGGATCAATTCGACGATGATTGATACGATCAACGCACAGCTCTTCTTGCGCCTGCAGGAGAACGACACGATCGACTGTAAGCATTTTGTTCAAAGCCTTGGCTTGATGCAGAGTGCGAGGAAAACCATCCAGAAGAATGGTAGACGAAGCCAAAGCATCGGGTTGCTGGAGACGACAGCTTAAGATGTGGAGCATGATATTGTCCGGGATGAGCTCGCCTCTGTGCACGAAAGGGGAAGCACTCTTACCAAATCGACTGTTTGGGCTTTGCATTTCATCACGAACGAAATCACCCAATGAAATATGGAGGGCGTTGGGCAACTTTGCAGCAGCGGCGTGTCCCAAGGTACCTTTGCCGCTGCCTGGAGGACCAATCAGAAGGACGATTTTTTGTTTTGGATTCGACATCTACAAGAAAACAAAACAAAAAGTAGGGGTGTACAAAACGCGCTCACGCTCATAAGGGGTGGACCAGAAGTTCTGAGTCAATTTGTATAGTAAATTTTTCTTTCACAAAACACATGGTTGAAAATCCATCTCTATAAAGGAAAGATGCAGTAAAACACGTGCTACAAAATGACTTTTGATTGATCCCGCTAGCTCATGTAGTAAGAAAGTTATAGGCTTAGAAATGTGCTTCACAAAAAATAAAAATTAACCGTGAACCAGATCTATATGGGGGTGCTTTCAGTAAAAGTCCCATAACTTCATCAAAACAAAAGGTTTTTCGATCAGCTTTGTTTTGTTTTGATCAGAAATGATTGCCCTTCTCTACCTAGTTGCAACATCGAAACTTCGATCGCACTTTCTGTTTCTTGCTCAGTACATTGCTGGAAGCTAGGCTGTAGATTTTTGACGTATTTTTGAAACTTGGATCTCGAGCACACCATCTTCTCTAAAAATATTTTTTTACAGACCACGAGAAAGAGTACATTTGAAAATACCAAAGTCAGCTGAGTTCTCACTTTTGCTATGCTGTTTTGTGGAAATAATAGGAAAAGAAAACGTTCCAGTAAAAACAATACCAAATTTACAAAGTTTTTATTGTTTTTGCCTCGCGTATAATTAGCTTAGTTTTATTGATTGAAGTTTTGGAATTAAAGTTTAGGTAAGATTTTGTAGAGAATTTCACAGCACGTCTATTAAAAAAAATTGTTCTAGTGAACCTAAGGAACAGGACTAAGAGCAAACATACTGAGACCGGGTTCACGGTTAATTTTTATTTTTTGTGAAGCACATTTCTAAGTCTATAACTTTCTTACTACATGAGCTAGCGGGTTCAATCAAAACACATTTTGTAGCCCGTGTTTTACTGCATCTTTCCTTTATAGAGATGGATTTTCAACCATGTGTTTTGTTAAAGAAAAATTTATTATACAAATAGACTCAGGACTTCTGGCCCTCCCCTTATCATACAAAAAGATCACATAGCACAAACTGATGTGCTGATCGGTCGAATTGTATACCTAAGGTGGCTAACGTATATGACTTTATTGATCAATTTCAATGATGTTATATATCCATCATTGGGACCCATTTTTATAGCTCTCTAGCAGAGGTAAAATCACTCAATCATACAATACTAATATTTTTACTTCCTTTGGTTTTCGATGATCAAACAGAAACGAAAAAAATATGCTTCAATCGGGAATCGAACCCAAGACTAAATTACTGGTTATCCGGGCCAGCGCTCTAACCATTGAGCTATCGAAGCACGACAAACATATATTTTCGTTCTGAATGAATTTTTAATCATCGATAATTTTAACGTCGACACGCTGTGTACGACGCACTTGAATATAACGCTGCTATTTTTTATCAAGTGTATATGATGGTGATTATTTCTCCTCTTACGAGGGTGAATA